CCGTAACTGATTATCCGTACCTGATAGGACACACAAACTCATGTACAAGTCTTGCTCATTAGAGTACATTGTCCTGATCATGTGAGCGCCGTGTGCCGCAATGTACAGAACATCCCGTCCCTAGCACTGGACATCCTCTGCTATGTCCCAGCTTCCTCCTCTTCCGATGTCATTTACAGTCTGTACTTACATAAACCCGCACGGTTGGGCTACACCCAACAAGAGTGTCAAAACTGGCGGCCCTCCAGCTGTTGCGATACTACAAGTCCCATCATGCCTCTGCCTTTGGGAGTCATGCTTGTAACTGTCAGTCTTGCAATGCCTCATGGGACTTGTAGTTTGGCAACAGCTGGAGGGCCACCACTTTGACACCCGTGAGTCTTATTTTAAAAAATGTGTGTGTTTTGGGTCCATTTTGATTGATGGACCTCCGATGACAAGGAGAATCAGAGGCGGACTGACAACTCATGAGGCCCCCGGGCAATAGGGGTTAATGGGGCCCCCTGTGTCCTGGTCCACACTCAAACAGCACCCAAGAAAGCCTATGAAAGGTATTCATGGGGCCCAGTGGTGCATTTAGGTATCGGTCTGCCCTAGGCAACATAAAAATAGGCTCCCCCCCCATCCCACAGAGAGAGCCTGACATTGACCGACAACACCCCATGCCTCCCACCCCCACCCGAGAGAGCCTTTTACTACCACCGACCCCCATACACTGGCAAATGCCCCCCCCCCCCCCCCCACTCTGGCAAGAGATAAGACACTCACCTTCACAGCTCCGGACATCCCCTGGAACAAGAGTCAGACTCTGCATACACCGTTTAACATCCTGCAGCCTCTGTCAGATTCCTGTGCTGCGTGTGTCCCTTCTTCCTCTCCTTCTTTCATTGGATGGTACTGCCCCCCCTGAAAAAAGCTGCTTCCCCCTGAAAAGTGCCGCCCTAGGCAAATGCCTTGTTTGCCTTGTGATAAATACACCCCTGATGGGGCCCCTACTGACCCTGGGCCCTCGGGCAGTGCCCGAGTGTCTGAATGGTCAGTCCGCCCCTGACGAGAATTCATTTTCAGAAAACCAACTGTTCCATTCTGTTACTCCTCAGTTTTTCTAACGACCAAACCTCAGGCAAAGCAAGGACCCGGCGTGATATCTGCTCACTGCCCTGTTCCATGTGATTAGGTGCAGTTTTTGTAGGGGGGAAAGGGATATTTGGAATTTCTCCAGCTACCTGTTTATTTCACCCTTCACCTTTGCCAACTGACCTGCCTTCTTCCTTGTCTGTGCATTCTAGCGGACCATCACTTGGACTGACGCCTTGGACCGCATAGTTTACCTATCCCCTCGGATCCCTGCTTTACGTCCATTCTGTTTTACCCCCAGCTCACATCTGTGCGGGTGGTGCCGCTGCGGATCCGCACGAAAATCCATGCAGCCGTATGTTGTACGGTGCTCTGTATGTTGGGATACACTATTTTTAACCATTGTGACCAATAAAGACATACCTCCAAGGGAGGTGAATATTGACTTTTAACCGCAGATTCCACATCTGTTCTTTTGGATTTTATATTCAAGACTTTTATTAGTGTTGCATCAGCAGCAGTGGACAAGTGGCCCCCATTATTGAGCCCATGCGCTTTGATCTTTTGTTCCAGTTTGGTTTTAACCACTTTCCAGTCCGGACACTTTACCCCCCTCTTTTCAGTCCGGACACTTTACCCCCTTCCAGTCCGGTACACTTTCACCCCCTTCCCAGTCCGGACACTTTACCCCCCTTCCTGTCCGGACGCTTTCACCCCCTTCCAGTCCGGACACTTTACCCCCCTTCCAGTCCGGACACTTTCACCCCCCTTCCAGTCCGGACACTTTCCCCCCTTCCTGTCCAGGGCAATTTTCAGCTTTCTTCAGCGCTATCACACTTTGAATGACAATTGCGCGCGGTCATGCAATACTGTACCCATATGAATTTTTTACCATTTTTGTAAGACAGATAAAGCTTTCTTTTGGTGGTATTTATTCACCTCTGGGATTTTTATTTTTTTTGCTATGTAAAATGAAAAAGTCCAAAAAGTTTGAACAAAAGTGTTTTTCTTATAAAATTTTGCAAATAAATAATCTTTTATCATAAATCTTGGCCAAAAATGTATTCCGTTATATTTTTTAGAAAAAAAAAATAAGCCAAATTAGTTTATAACCAAAAATTATAATTTTTAAACTTTTTTTTACATTTTTATTAATTTTTTTATATTATTATTTATGTTTTTGTTTTTTTTTACATACTGTCACCCTAGCAGTACAGTGTCACCATGGTTTTTTTTTTTTTTTTTTTACAGTGATTGCTTTTACACCCATATAGGATGTAAAAGCAATCATTTCTCTTTCTCTATGTCTGCATTCTTGTAGCCATTGAGAAATACTGAGTGAGCTGCGATTGGTCACACCTTGTCACATGGTACAAGGCTGTTGTGAATGGCCCTGTACCATGTGACCTCTGTGATCATTCACAGATTTCACACGTAGTAAGCAATGATGTCACAAGTGACATCTTGCTTACTACTTTGCATGTGATCACTGATTGGCCAATCAGTGATCACATGATCGGGACCTCGTACAGAGGTCCCATACGACAATCAGTGTTCCACTGTGTCCGGAGGACACAGCGGGCACCAGATCGCGGTGCTGCGCGCTCCCAGGGAGCACGCACAGCTAGAAAAGGCGGCTGCCGTTTATGAACGGCAACCCGCCCCTGGAGTGCCACCACCCTGCCGTTTATAAACAGCAGGCGGACGGCAAGAGGTTAATATAGTGATCGTATAAGTCCATTTATTATCACATAGCTGTTTGGCTTCTTTTTAAATCATAATGATAACAGAAATCCCCCAAATGGCCCGGATCAAAACTTTCCCTCCCCTGGAGTGTTTGGCCTTGGTACAGACACACAAGGTGGCACACACATGGGTTAAAAATGGCAATTAAAGGTTCATTTCCCACATCTGTGGCTTTTTAAATTGCAATTAGTGTCTGTGTATAAATACTGAGTTTGTTAGCTCTCACGTTGGATGCACTGATCTGGCTAGATACTGAGCCATGGGGAGCAGAAAAGAACTGTCAAAAGCCCTGCGTAACAAGGTAATGAAACTTTATAAAGATTGAAAAGGATAGAAAAAGATATTCAATGCCTTGGATATGCCAGTCAGTACTGTTTAATCACTTATTAAGAAGTAAAAAAATTCGGGATCTCTTGATACCAAGCCAAGGTTACATAGACCAAGAAAGATTGCAGCCACAACTGTCAGGAGAATTGTTTGGGATATAAAGAAAAACTGGAAAAAAAAAAAAAAAAGATATGGGGTTCAAGTAGCACAATACGATGATACTTGAACAAAAATGAGCTGCATAGTCAAGTGCCAGAAAGAAGCCTTTCCTGTGCCACTTCCAGAAAAAAGCCCAGTGGGGCGTCTCACGGTGTTGTTGGGCATATTGTACTCGGGCTTTTTTGCCCACAACAAGGTTTTATCTGGGCCACAGCCAGGGTCAGTGGTATATCATCCTCAATGTGTATAGATTGATGATTCAGGTCAGCAGATCCTACCTATGGTATGCAAGGGGGCTCTGACTGACCACCCTAATGTAAGAGGGACTCTGATGGGGCCCTGACATAAGGTGCTAGTGGGAACTCTGATATAAGAGGGACCAGGGGCGGACTGACAACTCATGGGGCCCCCGGGCAATAGGTGATCATGGGGCCCCTGTGTCTTTGCCCAAACTCAAAAAAGCCTATGAAAAAGGTACCAGTTGCATCTCATGGGGCCCCCTACTGACCCCGGGCCCTCGGGCAGTGCCTTAGTTTCCAAATGGTCAGTCCGCCCCTGAGAGGGACTCTGATGTAAGTGGGGACTTCTGATCTAAGGGGGGCTCTGATTGAAACTCTGATGTAGGGGGGCAGAGGCGGACTGACAACTCATGGGGCCCCCAGGCAATAGGGGATCATGGGGCCTCTGTGTCCTTGCCCAAACTCAAAAAAGCCTATGAAAAAGGTACCAGGGGCATCTCATGGGACCCCTTACTGACCCCGAGCCCTCGGGCAGCGCCCGAGTTTCCAAATGGTCAGTCCACCCCTGGTAGGGGGGTACTTTGATGGACAACCATGATGTAAAGGGTGGTCATTTATTTATAAAACTGATTTTTTTTTTCCCAGCTTGCGAATATTAGTAAAATATACAATCTGACCATTTGCACTGAAACATTTGGAAACCTCTGCTTTATGGCATTGCCAGGGGCAGACTGACAACTCATGGGGCCCCCGGGCAATAGGAAATCATGGGGCCCCTGTGTAATCACCCACACTCAAACCACACCCAAAAAAGCCTATGAAAGGTACCAAGGGCATCTCATGGGGTCCCCTACTGACCCCGGCCCTCAGGCAGTGCCGAGTGGCTAAATGGTGAGTCCGCCCCCTGGGCATTGCTTTGGTTCCTGAACCTTTCACATATTCATTCATTATGGTAAAGAAAACCCACTTTATTATAACTATATTAATGGCCCCTTTATTCTATATTCATACATATTATTTTCATTTTTCCTCTCCTACAGGACCTTACAGTGCGGTGAATATCTGCTTAAATGATTCCCAAGGTACATTCACAAAAAAAAAAACGTTTGCAAAGGGGGATCAATGCTCCCCCCAAAAAAGTAAGAAAAGGTACACATATCCCAATGTACTGCATACAGTATCACAATACTTCAGGTTACCCCTGAACCCAGACCTTACAGTTGGCTCTACTGCCTCTATTCAATGCCCTTGTACTGAAACACAATACAATCCAGTGGACTCAAATTCAAACATTTTGAGAAATGTCAAACTTTGCTCACTTGTGTCCTAAAATTGTCCAAAAGTCGCCATAGTACTTTTCAATTAAGCCACTTGTATAGCCGCACGGTTCCATAGTTATGTGCCAATCCTGTGACAGACAGGACCAATGTGTACCACCATCATAAAGACCCTCTATTGTCTACGTTGCTTATGTGGAGATCCTGAGGTCCACCAGGAGTATTTCTGGGACAAGGAGCATGTGGCTTTGTTGTGTCCTCCATCTGGAAGTTCAGTGCAAGTTGAAACAGCGTTGTAAATGCTCAGCAGGACAGCCAGAAATACAATGGCAGCCGCTACGATGGAGAGGGCGCTCCAGTGGTTCAGTAGCTTGGGGTACAGCATGTGGATGTAGTCAATGCACTCCTCGATTTTACTGGAAGAGATCAATAATTATTGACTTACACTTTGCAGCTGAACTGCTTATGATCGGATCAAATTAATTTCATCTAGTCAAAAGGCTTCTGCATTTAAATGTTCCTAACAATACCACCCCCTTTAACAAGTAACCCTCCCCCTACCTGAACACTTTACTTAACTCCATGGCTTTTTTTCAAAAAAATAGGTGCAGGTGCTTGTTGCGCATCCTACTCACCTCCAAGCACCGTCCCTTGGTTCTTCCCACTTCCCACCTCCAAGCACCGTTCCTTGGTTCCATCCCCTACCCACCTCCAAGCACCGCCTCTTGGTTCCACCCTCAAGCACTGCCCCTTGGTTCCACACTCTACCCCACCTCCAAGCACCATCCCTTGGTTTCACCCACACTCAAAGCACTGACCCTTGGTTCCATCCACTACCCACCTCAAAGTACCGTCCCTTAATTCCACCCATTTCCTATCTCCAAGCACCAACCCTTGGTTTCACCCACTTCCCGCCTCCAAGCACCAACCCTTGGTTCCACCCCCTACCCACCTCCAAGCACCAACCCTTGGTTCCACCCTCTTCCCACGTCCAAGCACCGACCCTTGGCTTCACACCCTACCCACCTCCATGCACCATCCCTTGGTTCCACCCCCTACCCACCTCCAAGCACCAACCCTTGGTTCCACCCCCTTCCCACGTCCAAGCACCGACCCTTGGCTTCACACCCTACCCACCTCCATGCACTATCCCTTGGATCCAACCCTTACCCACCTCCAAGTATCATTCCTTGGTTCCACGCTCTTCCCACGTTCAAGCGCCATCCCTTGGTTCCACCCCCTACCCACCTTCAAGCACCATCCCTTGGTTCCACCCACCTCCAAGCGCCGACCCTTGGTTCCACTCCTTCCCACCTCCAAGCCTTGAACCTTGTTTCTACCCCCTACCCACCTCCAAGCATTGTCCCTTTGTTTCACCCTCTACCCAGCTCCAAGCACCGTTCCTTTGTTCCACCCTCTAGCCACCTCCCAGTACCGTCCCTTTTAGAGAAAACACAACCAAGTATCCTTTGGTGATGCTTGCTAACTAATTTGTATGGAATTTGATAAGATAAGAAGAAAAGAAAGTAAAATAGATTCCCTGTAGCCAGAAAAAATAGCCCCCCCAGCAACAAATTATCCCCCAGCACCAATAGACCACCCTCTGCAACAAAATACTTCCACAGCAAAAACAGATAAACCCCAGCAACAATAGACCCCACCAACAACAGTAGATCTTCCAGCAGCCGGCAACAATAGATTCCTCCCTCAATAGTAAACCCCTACCAGCAACAATTGGCCTCCCAGCAGCATAAGACCCCCTTTATCAACAATAGAACTCTTCCTCAGCAACAGATACCTCCAGTGACAATAAATCCCCAGCGGCAATAGACCCTCCAGCACACCCCAGCACCACTTGTCATTACATTCACTATATTGCCAAAAGTATTGGGCTGCCTGCCTTTCCACGCACATGAACTTTAATGGCATCCCAGTCTTAGTCCGTAGGGTTCAATATTTGTTGGCCCCGCCCTTTGCACCTATAACAGCTTCAACTCTTCTGGGAAGGCCGTCCACAAGGTTTAGGAGGGTGTCTATGGGAAGGTTGGACCATTCTTCCAGAAGCACATTTGTCAGGTCAGGCACTGATGTCGGGGGAGGAGGCCTGGCTCGCAGTCTCCGATCTAATTCATCCCAAAGGTGTTCTATGGGGTTGAGGTCAGGACTCTGTGCAGGACAGTCAAGTTCCTCCACCCCAAACTGGCTCCTCCATGTCTTTATGGTTCTTGCTTTGTGCACTGGTGGGCAGTCATGTTGGAACAGGAAGGGGCCATCCCCAAACTCTTCCCACAAAGTTGGGAGTATGAAATTGTCCAAAATGTCTTGGAAAGCTGATGCCTTAAGAGTTCCCTTCTCTAGAACTAGGGGGCCAAGCCCAACACCTGAAAAACAAACCCCACACCATAATCCCCCTCCACCAAACGTTACACGTGGCACAATGCAGTCAGGCAAGTGACTTCCTCTTGGCAACCACCAAACCCAGACAGATCCATCGGATTGCCAGACAGAGAAGCGTGATTCATCACTCCAGAGAACACGTCTTCACTGCTCTAGAGTCCAGTGGCAGCGTGCTTTACACCACGGCATCCGACGCTTTGCATTGCACTTGGTGATGTAAGGCTTAGATGCACCTGCTCGGCCATGGAAACCCATTCCATGAAGCTCTCTACGCACTATTGTTGAGCTAACCTTAAGGCCACCCCAAGTTTGGAGGTCTTTAGCTTTAGACTCTGCAGACAGTTGGTGACTTCTGCGCACTGTGCGGCTCAGCATGCGCTGACCCCGCCCTGTCATGTGACGTGGCCTACCTCTTGGTGGCTGAGTTGCTGTTGTTCCCAGTTGCTTCCACTTTGTTATAATCCCACTAACAGTTGAGCGTGGAATATTTAGTAGCCAGGAAATGTCACGGATGGACTTATTGCCCAGGTGGCCACCTATCACGGGACCACGCTTGGAGTCACTGAGCTCCTGAGAGCGACCCATTCTTTCACCAATGTTTGTAGAAGCAGTCTGCATGCCTAGGTGATGATTTTTATACACTTGTGGCCATGGAGGGGATTGGAACACCTGAATCACATGATTTGGAGGGCGGGGCCAATACTTTTGGCAATATATTGTATATTCAATGCTGCAGGTGCCTGAACTGCGTTCCCCCTGAAAATGTACCCTGCTTAGCCCTCTAAATAAGCCCTTAGCTCTTACTTAGCCCTCCCCCCCAGTGGTGTATTTAGGCAACCCAAAAATTGGACGCCCCCCCTCCCCGGTGGAGAGAGCCTGCCACAGACCAACACCAGACCCGCTTTCGTGGAGAGAGCCTGACAGTGACCAACACCCCTGCCCCATCCCCCCCACCCATGGATGGAGAGAGCCTGACAGTGATTAACAACACCCCCTGCCCCACCCCCCCCCACCCGAGAGAGGCTTCCTTCACAGCTCTGGCCATCCCTAGGAACGACAGTTGGGCTCTGCATACACCATCAAGCAGCCCACAGCCTCTCTCGGATCCCACCTGGTCCCCATGTCCCTTCTTCCGGGTGGCACTGCTGCCCCCCTAAAAAAATGCCGCCCTAGGCAAATGCCTTGTTTGCCTTGTGGTAAAGACGATTCCTGCCCCCCCCCCCAAAAACACCTAATCTTTAGTAATTAATCTGATCCTCCACTAAAGCTGGTCATATATGATCACAATTTGGACGGTTCGGCAGGGAGCAGCCAAATTTGGATCCATGTCTAGCCATTCTGACTCTACCAAAGTCAACAGCAGGGAGGATTCCTCCATCCATCTCGCTTGCATGAATGGGGGAATCTGCTTGTGTTTTTCACCTGCCAGATGATTGAAAAAAATAAAAAAAGATCCAAGTATGGCCAGCCTAACCTGAATGCAAACAGTTTAAACAGCGGATGTAAGAAGATATAAAAAAAAACAAAAATGAATGCATTCCGTATTCATGAATACGTCATTAAATGTAAAAGCAAGCATTGCAAACAACTGAATTTGATCCGATATCAGCCTCTTGCAGTGCCATATACAACAGAGCTCAGGTTGAGAGAGAAGCAGCACCAGGAGTAGGGGAGGACTGACAACTCATGGGGCCCCCGGGCAATAGGGGATCATGGGGCCCCTGTGTCCTTGCCCAAACTCAAAAAAGCCTACGAAAAAGGTACCAGGGGCATCTCATGGGGCCCCCTACTGACCCTGGGCCCTCGGGCAGTGCCGAATTTCCAAATGGTCAGTCCGCCCCTGACCAGGAGCCTACCATTTGTTCAGAGGTGCTAACAAGAAACATGCTGATAGGAAGAGAGCGGAATGGCAGAGAGATGAGCTCACCAGCAGAGAGATGAGCGAACCATTTGGGAACTCGGGCACTGCCCGAGGGCCCGGGGTCAGAAGGGGGCCCCATGAGATGCCCCTGGTACTTTTCATAGGCTTTTTTGGGTGTGCTTTGAGTGTCATGCTCAGGGGTGGAATGACCATTTGGAAACTCAGGCACTGCCCGAGGGCCCGGGGTCAGTAGGGGGCCCCATGAGATGCCCCCGGTACCTTTTTCATAGGCTTTTTTGAGTTTGGGCAAGGACACAGGGGCCCCATGATCCCCTATTGCCTGGGGGGCCTCATGGGTTGTCAGTCCACCCCTGCTCACCAGTCTGCTGTTTCTCCTTTCACTATCCAGCCCCAGGCTGGGGGGGGGGGGGGAAGGCACAAGACCTGTAAATGTTACTGAACTGCAGCAAAGAAAAATCAGGTCTCATCTACCGCCAGGCTGTGTTGTATGGTAGAGTTGTGTAACTCTTAAGATTGGAGGACAGAAATGCAAATCCATGGCAGGTAAAACAGTTCCCGTAAATGAATTTAATTTGTGTATTTAGCGGCTTGCCTGGAGTTCATCTTTACCCTTCACCCCAACCCCTAACCCAATCCCAAAACTAACTCCCTAAATACTATACATTCCCTTTAAGTGACATCCTTGGGACCGTGCATATTTGGGAGCGTTCAAATAGAACAATATCGTTTTGACACCAAGTGATCAACTTTCAACCGCTTTACAGTGTAAGTTTCCTTTAGGAAATCAGTCTATGACTAGAGAATACATAAACCTAAACTAGCCTTTCTCAATATGACGGGAGTCACTTTGGGTTGGGGGCCCATGGAACACAGCCCCCTTTGGAGAGGTGGGGAGACCCCTGTCTCAGCTTCCCATATCCCTATTATGTGTAAGTCACCCTGTGCCTGTTAGGGGTACAGGGTGGAATGTCCCGATATTGTGTAAACATGTATAGGTGGGGTGTGGGGGTTGTTCATTGTTTACTGCCAGGTGGTCCCATTGTTCTATTGTGTGTTGCTTGGGAGCAAACTATTATGGGATGTATGTTGTTGACGCCAAGTGATCAACTTTCAACCGCTTTACAGTGTGAGTTTCCTTTAGCAAATCAGTCTACGACTAGAGAATACATAAACCTAACCTAGCCTTTCTCAATGTGACGGGAGTCATTTTGGGTGGGGGGCCCATGGAACAGAGCCCCCTTTGGAGAGGTGGGGAGACCCCTGTCTCAGCTCCCCATATCCCTATTATGTGTAAGTCACCCTGTGCCTGTTAGGGGTACAGGGTGGAATGTCCTGATATTTTGTAAACATGTATAGGTGGGGTGTGGGGGTTGTTCATTGTTTACTGCCAGGTGGTCCCATTGTTCTATTGTGTCTTGCTTGGGAGCAAACTATTATGGGATGTATGTGTTTAGAAAATACATAAACCTAACCTAGCCTTTCTCAATGTGACGGGAGTCATTTTGGGTGGGGGGCCCATGGAACAGAGCCCCCTTTGGAGAGGGTGGGGAGACCCCCTGTTTCAGCTCCCCATATCCCTATTATGTGTAAGTCACCCTGTGCCTGTTAGGGGTACAGGGTGGAATGTCCTGATATTTTGTAAACATGTATAGGTGGGGTGTGGGGGTTGTTCATTGTTTACTGCCAGGTGGTCCCATTGTTCTATTGTGTCTTGCTTGGGAGCAAACTATTATGGGATGTATGTGTTTTGTGTATTGGCTTGGTGGGGGGTGTCTGCTGATGTCTCTTGTTGCTAGATTTAGTTTGCCCCACCCTGTGTCCTTATGCAGGTGGGTTGTTCCCTTGAATGTATATATCTTGTGTCTGTGTTAAAATAAAGCAGTCTATTTCCTGTATTAATACAAGTCTGGTGCTGTCTCATCTTGTATGGTCAGCGGTGGTGTCCATGGATCTGTGTTCGGATGGGGAAGCTGGAGTCTAATGGAAATACCCAAATGCAGTCGGGGTCCGGTTCTGTTACACTCAACCTTTTCAACGCAGAGGAACCCTTGATGCAACTTTCGGGGCTCGGGGAACCCCTGCTAAAATGACTATATCTACAATTCATGATACATTAGTGTGATAGTTAGAGATAAGAATGCTCCTTACACTTGTGGTCATTGGGAAGAATTACCCCTTACAGATTGCTAAAAAGATCAATGGTGTCACGGGGAACTTACCTGAGAGGCAAACATTGCTCATTGCTCAAGAACCCCTGGCAAGCTCTGGAGGAACCCTGGCTGAGATACCCTGACCTAAACTGATGGTCACACAGGCCCCCCACCTTCCCTGACTTGTATTTATCTTGTTGTGCCCCGTGGTCTCACCTGCTCTTCAGCTTTGTGAATTCTTCCTTCTCTTCTTCGTCATGCTCAGCTGGGCTTTCATTCACCTTATCCTCTTCCTCCTCCTTAAATTCCTGAAGACCCTGAACCTTCTTCAGACCTTCTTGAAACCTTTGAGGAAGAACATTGTTACCACAAAGTGATCGTTGCAAGCTGCATCCTGCCAGTTGGTGAGGAACCACAAGTAAGGCCACATCTCTACCAGTGGTATTAGATAAATATTCAGAGTAGAACCTAGGGTGTCATTTATTGGGAACTAGGAGGGCTCTACTGAAAGTAATGCAAATGTGGGCATGTCATTTTTATGGACTTACATTGCTCATTCAAATTTCACATGATGGTAGTAACTCTTCTTCTATAAGCAGGGTTTTTCAACTGGGGTGCCACAAAGAGTCCTCAGGGGTGCTACAGCAAAAGCACAAAAAACTGCCCCCCCAACTAAGGTAGGCAGAAAAAATAAAATATTCTTTACTGCAGGATCAAGCTCTTTATTTTTTTAACTGCAGTATCGGTCTTGTACCTTTTACACTCATAGGTAACCTTCTGTGGGACTCTGTGCTGCCGCTACCATACAGCTACCTGATTGGTGCTACCATACTGCTCACTAACTGCCACTACCACCATACCGCTCGCTGACTGCCGCTACCATACCGCTCACTGACTGCAGCTACCATACCGCTCACTGACTGCAGCTACCATACTGCTCACTGACTGCCGCTACCATACTGCTCACTGACTGCCGCTACCATACTGCTCACTGACTGCAGCTACCATACCGCTCACTGACTGACACTACTATACTGCTCACTGACTGCCGCTACCATACTGCTCACTGACTGCAGCTACCATACCGCTCACTGACTGCCGCTACCATACTGCTCACTGACTGCCGCTACCATACCGCTCACTGACTGACACTACTATACTGCTCACTGACTGCCACTACCATACTGCTCACTGACTGCCGCTCCGTACCATACCGCTGACTGACTGCAGCTACCATATTGCTGACTGACTGCCGCTACCATACCGATCACTGACTGCCGCTACCATACCGATCACTAACTGCCACTACCATTCCGCTCACTGACTGACACTACCATACCGCTCACTGACTGACGCTACGATACCGCTCACTGACTGACGCTACCATACCGCTCCCTGACTGACGCTACCATACCGCTCCCTGACTGACACTGCATACCGCTCTCTGACTGACACTGCATACCGCTCTCTGACTGACACTACATACCGCTCACTGACTGCAGCTGCCATACCACTCACTGACTGCAGCTACCATATTGCTCACTGACTGCCGCTATATCACTCACTGACTGCCACTACTATACCGCTCACTGACTGCAGCTACCATACCGCTGACTGACTGCAGCTACCATACCGCTGACTGACTGCCGCTACCATTCTGCTCCCTGACTGACGCTACCATACCGCTCCCTGACTGACGCTACCATACCGCTCCCTGACTGACACTACATACCGTTCACTGACTGACACTGCATACCGCTCTCTGACTGACACTGCATACCGCTCTCTGACTGACACTACATACCGCTCACTGACTGACACTACATACCGCTCACTGACTGACACTACATACCGCTCACTGACTGACACTACATACCGCTCACTGACTGACACTACATACCGCTCACTGACTGACACTACATACCGCTCACTGACTGACACTACCCGCTCATACCGCTCACTGACTGCAGCTACCATATTGCTCACTGACTGCCGCTATATCACTCACTGACTGCCACTACTATACCGCTCACTGACTGCAGCTACCATACCCGCTGACTGACTGCTGCTACCATACTGCTGACTGACTGCCGCTACCATACCGATCACTGACTGCCGCTACCATACCGCTCACTGACTGCCGCTACCATACCGCTCACTGACTGCAGCTACCATACCGCTCACTGACTGCAGCTACCATACCGCTCACTGACTGCAGCTACCATACCGCTCACTGACTGCAGCTATATCACTCACTGACTGCCACTACTATACCGCTCACTGACTGCAGCTACCATACCGCTGACTGACTGCAGCTACCATACTGCTGACTGACTGCCGCTACCATACCGATCACTGACTGCCGCTACCATACCGATCACTGACTGCCACTACCATACCGCCGCTCACTGACTGCCACTACCATACCGCTCACTGACTGCAGCTACCATACCGCTCACTGACTGCAGCTACCATATTGTTGACTGACTGCCGCTACCATACCGATCACTACTGCCACTACCATTCCGCTCACTGACTGACGCTACCATTCCGCTCACTGACTGACGCTACCATACCGCTCACTGACTGACGCTACCATACCGCTCCCTGACTGACGCTACATACCGCTCACTGACTGACACTACATACCGCTCACTGACTGACACTACACATACCGCTCACTGACTGCAGCTACCATATTGCTCACTGACTGCCGCTATATCACTCACTGACTGCCACTACTATACCGCTCACTGACTGCAGCTACCATACCGCTGACTGACTGCTGCTACCATACTGCTGACTGACTGCCGCTACCATACCGATCACTGACTGCCGCTACCATACCGCTCACTGACTGACGCTACCATACCGCTCCCTGACTGACGCTACCATACCGCTCCCCGCTCCCTGACTGACACTACATACCGTTCACTGACTGACACTGCATACCGCTCTCTGACTGACACTGCATACCGCTCTCTGACTGACACTACATACCGCTCACTGACTGACACTACATACCGCTCACTGACTGACACTACATACCGCTCACTGACTGACACTACATACCGCTCACTGACTGACCGCTACATACCGCTCACTGACTGACACTACATACCGCTCACTGACTGACACTACCATACCGCTCACTGACTGCAGCTACCATATTGCTCACTGACTGCCGCTATATCACTCACTGACTGCCACTACTATACCGCTCACTGACTGCAGCTACCATACCGCTGACTGACTGCTGCTACCATACTGCTGACTGACTGCCGCTACCATACCGATCACTGACTGCCGCTACCATACCGCTCACTGACTGCAGCTACCATACCGCTCACTGACTGCCGCTACCATACCGCTCACTGACTGCAGCTACCATACCGCTCACTGACTGCAGCTACCATACCGCTCACTGACTGCAGCTACCATATTGCTCACTGACTGCCGCTATATCACTCACTGACTGCCACTACTATACCGCTCACTGACTGCAGCTACCATACCGCTGACTGACTGCAGCTACCATACTGCTGACTGACTGCCGCTACCATACCGATCACTGACTGCCGCTACCATACCGCTCACTGACTGCCACTACCATACCGCTCACTGACTGCAGCTACCATACCGCTCACTGACTGCAGCTACCATATTGTTGACTGACTGCCGCTACCATACCGATCACTACTGCCACTACCATTCCGCTCACTGACTGACGCTACCATTCCGCTCACTGACTGACGCTACCATACCGCTCACTGACTGACGCTACCATACCGCTCCCTGACTGACGCTACATACCGCTCACTGACTGACACTACATACCGCTCACTGACTGACACTACATACCGCTCACTGACTGCAGCTACCATATTGCTCACTGACTGCCGCTATATCACTCACTGACTGCCACTACTATATACCGCTCACTGACTGCAGCTACCATACCGCTGACTGACTGCTGCTACCATACTGCTGACTGACTGCCGCTACCATACCGATCACTGACTGCCGCTACCATACCGCTCACTGACTGACGCTACCATACCGCTCCCTGACTGACGCTACCATACCGCTCCCTGACTGACACTACATACCGTTCACTGACTGACACTGCATACCGCTCTCTGACTGACACTGCATACCGCTCTCTGACTGACACTACATACCGCTCACTGACTGACACTACATACCGCTCACTGACTGACACTACATACCGCTCACTGACTGACACTACATACCGCTCACTGACTGACACTACATACCGCTCACTGACTGACACTACATACCGCTCACTGACTGACACTACCATACCGCTCACTGACTGCAGCTACCATATTGCTCACTGACTGCCGCTATATCACTCACTGACTGCCACTACTATACCGCTCACTGACTGCAGCTACCATACCGCTGACTGACTGCTGCTACCATACTGCTGACTGACTGCCGCTACCATACCGATCACTGACTGCCGCTACCATACCGCTCACTGACTGCCGCTACCATACCGCTCACTGACTGCAGCTACCATACCGCTCACTGACTGCAGCTACCATACCGCTCACTGACTGCAGCTACCATATTGCTCACTGACTGCCGCTATATCACTCACTGACTGCCACTACTATACCGCTCACTGACTGCAGCTACCATACCGCTGACTGACTGCAGCTACCATACTGCTGACTGACTGCCGCTACCATACCGCTCACTGACTGCCGCTACCATACCGCTCACTGACTGCCACTACCATACCGCTCACTGACTGCCACTACCATACCGCTCACTGACTGCAGCTACCATATTGTTGACTGACTGCCGCTACCATACCGATCACTACTGCCACTACCATTCCGCTCACTGACTGACGCTACCATTCCGCTCACTGACTGACGCTACCATACCGCTCACTGACTGACGCTACCATACCGCTCCCTGACTGACGCTACATACCGCTCACTGACTGACACTACATACCGCTCACTGACTGACACTACATACCGCTCACTGACTGACACTACATACCGCTCACTGACTGCAGCTACCATATTGCTCACTGACTGCAGCTATATCACTCACTGACTGCCACTACTATACCGCTCACTGACTGCAGCTACCATACCGCTGACTGACTGCTGCTACCATACTGCTGACTGACTGCCGCTACCATACCGATCACTGACTGCCGCTACCATACCGCTCACTGACTGACGCTACCATACCGCTCCCTGACTGCAGCTACCATATTGCTCACTGACTGCCGCTATATCACTCACTGACTGCCACTACTATACCGCTCACTGACTGCAGCTACCATACCGCTGACTGACTGAAGCTACCATACTGCTGACTGACTGCCGCTACCATACCGATCACTGACTGCCGCTACCATACCGCTCACTGACTGCCGCTACCATACCGCTCACTGACTGCCGCTACCATACCGCTCACTGACTGCAGCTACCATACCGCTCACTGACTGCAGCTACCATACCGCTGACTGACTGCAGCTACCATACTGCTGACTGACTGCCGCTACCATACCGATCACTGACTGCCGCTACCATACCGCTCACTGACTGCAGCTACCATACCGCTCACTGACTGCAGCTACCATATTGTTGACTGACTGCCGCTACCATACCGATCACTACTGCCGCTACCATACCGCTCACTAACTGCCACTACCATTCCGCTCACTGACTGACGCTACCATACCGCTCACTGACTGACGCTACCATACCGCTCCCTGACTGACGCTACCATACCGCTCCCTGACTGACGCTACCATACCGCTCACTGACTGACGCTACCATACCGCTCACTGACTGACGCTACCATACCGCTCACTGACTGACGCTACCATACCGCTCACTGACTGACACTGCATACCGCTCCCTGACTGACACTACATACCGCTCACTGACTGACACTACATACCGCTCACTGACTGACACTACATACCGCTCACTGACTGACACTACATACCGCTCACTGACTGACACTACATACCGCTCACTGACTGACACTGCATACCGCTCCCTGACTGACACTACATACCGCTCACTGACTGACACTACATACCGCTCACTGACTGACACTGCATACCGCTCACTGACTGACACTACATACCACTCACTGACTGACACTACATACCGCTCACTGACTGACACTATATACCGCTCACTGACTGACACTACCATACTGCTCCTACACATCTAGCCAATGCACATGTGTTCGTATCTGCTAAGATGCTTGGTACCACAGCACCATACATATTGGCGCGGCATGACTTTAAGAATTGTGCCAGCGCCTTTTCTGCTTGTTTCACGTGCATAGGGCAACCCATTGAAAAATGCAATGCGTGGGAACGCACAAAAAAAGTGCGCATGTGCTCAGACACACCTCCTGGTGTGCCCCGAGACCGTGTAGAATTCTAAAGGGTGCCTTTACCGAAAAAAGGCTGAGAAACACTGTTCTGTAGTAACACCTCTTCTTTCGTTCTCATTGCACATAAATGATGGATTCCAAGCAGAAGCAACATGACGTCATCGAGTTCTCCAACATCCACAGAAGGCTACAGAATGTTTACAGAGATGACAATATTGACAAGAGCCATGTGCACAGATGGATGAAGAAGTTTAAAGAAGAGGAAGCCAGCACTGAAGACACACTATAGGAGACCATCAACTGCGACCGCCGACACAAATCATCAGCGAGTGGAACGCAATGACGTCATGTTACTTCTCCTTGGAATCCATTATTTACCTGCAATGAAAAAGAACAGTGACTATAATGGAAGAGTTACTCTAACAACATGTAAAATTTTAATGATCTATATAAGTTGATAAAAAAAAGAACAATTAAAGTTTAGAAAGCTCCATCTGCAAGCAACACGACACTGGAGGAACTTTTTTAATTTGCCAATATAATCGGAAATATTGTCAGATAGACATTTTTCACTTTATAAAGGACTTTGATGGAAGCTTTGGATTGCCATGACTTCAAATAGTATTCTTTATCACCGAGTGACTTTTACCATGGTGATCAGAGAAGCAAAGGGACTCTTTACGTCTGGAGGAAAAGAAATGTAATCTCCAAACATGGAAAGGTTTCTTCACAGTGAGAGCTGTGATAATGTGGAATAGACTCCCTCAAGAGTTGGTTCTGGCCAGCTCAGTGGATTGCTTCAAAAAAGTCCTGGATTCTTTCTTGGATACACAGAATATAACTGGATATAACATTTATAGGTAACGTTGATCCAGGGAATATCCGATTGCCTCTCGGGGGATCAGGAAGGGATTTTTTTTCCCCCAACAGGAGCAAATTGGTTCGTGCTTTGCTGTTTTTTTTTTGCCTTCCTCTGGATCATCTGTGGGTGTAGGATTATAACTTTTTTTTTCTATGGTTGAACTGGATGGAATTTTGTCTTTTTTCAGCCAGAATAACTATGTAACCCTTACTGGTTCTGCTATGGGGCCCCTATACAAATAGTTAGGGCTCTGGTTCGCTTCCATCTAAATCTGGCCTCCTACATGTGTGTGTGTATGGCTGTAGTGGGGTTATTAGATTGTAAGCTCCTGGGGCAGGAACAATGGCGGACTGACAAATTATGGGGCCCCCGGGCAATAGGGGATCATGGGGCCCCCGTGTCCTTGCCCAAACTCAAAAAAGCCTATGAAAAAGGTACCAGGGGCATCTCATGGGGCCCCCTACTGACCCCGGACCCTTGGACAGTGCCCGAGTTTCCAAATGGTCAGTCCGCCCCTCGGCGGGAATGAAGGAAATTATGCATTATATTCTATATATTGCTGCAAAAAGTGTCAGTACCATTTAAAAAAAAATAAACTAAAATGTTGGGATCTGCAAAGGACTCTGAGCCCGGGTTCACCCTGATGCGGTGCGGAATTTGCAGCGGTTTCTGTGCGAATTCCACACCGCATCACAATCGCACCCCGTTCATGCGAACCTCTGCGGGTGTGTATGCTAAGTTAATGACACCCCGAAATCGGTCCGCAAAACGTGGTGTGATGTGCAGAATTGGATCGCATAAGTGTGAATACCCATGCGATCCGATTCTAGTGCGGACATAAAAAAAAAAAAAAGTGTCCTGTGCCTTTTTGGTGTGGATGTGGTGCGATTTGAGCCATACAAAATGTATGAACAGCAGAGTATTCGCATGCGATTTGCACAGGAATGCGGTGCGGTTCCTGCGTGAATCACATGCGATATACCGCACTGCACAAGCGTGAACCCATGCTGATGGTGGGAAAGATTAACGCAGGCCATAGACGGTTCGTTTATCAGCCGATTATTTTGTCCGAAAGAATAATCGTCCGATTTTCGCACTTTTAGTGGGGCAATGGCATCGGCCGATTTTTGCGGTTCCTTCTCATTTCTTTTATCGGTCATGCTCAGGGGCGGACTGACCATTTGGTAACTCAGGCACTGCCCGAGGGCCCGGGGTCAGTAGGGGGCCCATGAGATGCCCCTGGTACCTTTTTCATAGGCTTTTTTGAGTTTGGGCAAGGACACAGGGGCCCCATGATCCCCTATTTCCCGGGGGCCTCATGAGTTGTCAGTTAGCCCCTGGTCATGCTGGAAAATTTGTGAAAAACGGCCAATTTTCGCAATCATTGGTGGCAACAGAACGACCGATGTTTTGTTTTGCGGACAAAAAATCGGCCGATAAACGAACCGTCTATGGCCTGCATAAGGCCCCGTTCACACTAGAATGCAGAGCGGGAGAGCTGCGGTCCCATGCGGCTTCTTGCGGCTTCACCTAGCGGCAGCACCGGCCCTGGCTTCAGGAGCATCAATGGCACAACCTACCCTTTGTTATAAGCATCTTCTTCGATCTTTGCCTTTATCTCCGCGCTGATCTCCTCGGAAGGGTTCACCTGCAGCGATGGCGCTCGGACCTCACACCCATCCATCTCCACGCCAGACTTGGCACTGGACCAACAGATTAACACACTTATTAGCTATATACTACTGAAGTTTGAACCTTCTCCTCCAGTTGTTACAAAGGATACCGTAAAAGCCTGCGCATGACAAAAGATAGCAAGATAGATGATATTCACCAAACAGGCAATTATTCTGCCGTCTCTGAGCCAACGAGGAGGCAGAGAACTAGGAGATTAGCTGCTCTCGTGCACATCGCTGGATCACGATCAGGCTCAGGTAGGTATTGGGGGGGGGGGGGGGGGGGGGGACTGGGGGAAGCTGCAGGCAGAAGGTTTTTTACCTTCATGTATAGAATGCGTGAAAGTAAAAAAAAAAACCCTTCAGCCTTTAGAATCACTTTAAATCTCGGTGAGCTTTGAGTATTTCTTTCAGATCTGTGCAGTGATCCAGGGTGAGACTTTTCCTTCCTGTAATATAGACCGCTCTCCGCTGCTCTCTCTCCTTGTGCTGGGGGACTGGTCTTGTCTCCGCCCCCCTCCTGTAGTTTTCTGCAATGGGTGGGGCCCGTTGGGCTCCTCCCACACTTCTGCTCTCTCTCCTTGTGCAGGGTAACTGGTCTTGTCTCCGCCCCCCCCCTCCTGTAGTTTTCCGCAATGGGTGTGGCCTGCTGGCCTTCTCCCACACCTCTACTCTCTCTCCTCTTATGCAGGGTGACCGGTCTTGTTTCCGCCTCCTCCTGTAGTTTTCTGCAGTGGGTGGGGCCTGCTGGTCTCCTCCCACACCTCTACTCTCTCTCCTCTTATGCAGGGCAACTGGTCTTGTCTCCGCCCCCTCCTGTAGTTTTCTGCAGTGGGTGGGGTCTGCTGGCCTTCTCCCAAACCTCTACTCTCTCTCCTTATGCAGGGCGACCGGTCTTGTCTCCGCCCCCTCCTGTAGTTTTCTGCAGTGGGAGGGGCCTGCTGGCCTCCTCCCACACCTCTACTCTCTCTCCTTATGCAGGGCGACTGGTCTTGTCTCCGCCTCCTCCTGTAGTTTTCTGCAGTGGATGGGGCCTGCTGGCCTCCTCCCACACCTCAATTCTCTCTCCTCTTATGCAGGGTGACTGGTCTTGTCTCCGCCCCCTCCTGTAGTTTTCTGCAGTGGGTGGGGTCTGCTGGCTTCCTCCCACACCTCTACTCTCTCTCCTTATGCAGGGCGACTGGTCTTGTCTCCGCCTCCTCCTGTAGTTTTCTGCAGTGGATGGGGCCTGCTGGCCTCCTCCCACACCTCAATTCTCTCTCCTCTTATGCAGGGTGACTGGTCTTGTCTCCGCCCCCTCCTGTAGTTTTCTGCAGTGGGTGGGGTCTGCTGGCTTCCTCCCACACCTCTACTCTCTCTCCTCTTATGGAGGGTGACTGGTCTTGTCTCCGCCCCCTCCTGTAGTTTTCTGCAGTGGGTGGGGTCTGCTGGCCTTCTCCCAAACCTCTACTCTCTCTCCTTATGCAGGGCGACTGGTCCAATACAACACCTTTGGGATGTGGTGGAATGGGAGATTCACATCAACTGCATGATGCTATCATGGCAATATGGAGTAAAATCTCTGAGGAATGTTTCCAACACCTTGTTGAACCTATGGCATGAAGAATGAAGGCAAAAGGGGGTTCAACCCGGTACAACAAAGTGAGTGTGTGCATATATATATATATATATATAGCCTGCACAGAGTCCTGGCCTCAACCCCATAGAACACCTTTGGGATGAATTAGAGCGGAGACTGTGAGCCAGGCCTCCTCCCCTGACATCAGTGCCTGACCTGACAAATGTGCTTCTGGAAGAATGGTCCAACCTTCCCATAGACACCCTCCTAAACCTTGTGGACGGCCTTCCCAGAGGAGTTGAAGCTGTTATAGCTGCAAAGGGTGGGGCCAACTCAATATTGAACCCTACGGACTAAGACTGGGAGGCCATTAAAGTTCATGTGCGGGGAAAGGCCGGCCGACCAATACTTTTGGCAATATAGTCATATATATATATATATATATATATATATATATATATAAAAAATTAAAAAATTTATGTTGAAAACAAAATTTCCAAACCGTTTGGCATTATAGTGTGTGTATATATATATATATATTTCAAATGATGCAGTGATACTATGTAATGTATACGTATTGCATGAACTTATAGTGGAGGGGACTGGAGAAAACTGCTCTGGGAATAACATTTGCTGCATCCCAATGCTGTTTGTCTATTTAAAGGCCAAAGTCTTATAATGGATGAATGGATGAATGGCAGCAGTTAACGCCCAGCCCTTGAAAGACGTCCGTTTGACCCCCTTCTCTAAAGATTTACAGCAATCAGAAGGCTTATCTCGCCCTTGACGCTTCCATTGATTGTGTCATGTCAGCAAGTCCATTCCTTCGGTCAAGCAACAATTTCCTGCCCCGATATCCGAGGGTGACCCAACGCGTACGTGGGAGAGCCGGGTGGGTCCAGAGAGCCCGACATCCTGTGTTCCCAGTGGAAACAACCATCAGAATCTGCTTTCCCCACAGGGTGTGTCTTTTCTGCAACGGAGAACTTTCATCTAAACTTTGGAAAGTGTCGGTGAGATCACAGGACGTAGCGGAACGCCATCCTGCCATGAATCAGAAGGGTACCACGTTGCTTACAATCAACCCATTATCTGTTTTCATGGAAAACCACTGCTATATTTACAGCTAATCGTTGCAGGCCACAACGCATGACTTCACGGGAAAGTATTTAGCGTTTATCAGAAGGATGCAGACAAAGAATTTTGAATCGCTTCAACTCCCAGTGAGCCCGGGATCACACTGATGCGGTGCGGAATTCGTAGTGTTTTCAGTGCGAATTCCGCACCACATCAGAATCGCATCCCGTTCATGCGAACTGCTAGGGCCGTGTATGTTAAGTTAACAACACCCCGAGATCGGTTTCCAAAATGCGGTGTGATGTGCAGAATTGGATCGCATAGGTGTGAATACCCATGCAATCCGATTCTAGTGCGGACCAAAAGAAGGGTCCTGCACCTTTTTGGTGCAGATGTGGTGCAATTTGAGCTAAAATGTACGGCTCAAATTGCACTGCACAGAATTCACATGTGATTTGCTTAGGAATGCGGTGCGGTTCCTGTGCGAATCACATGCGATATACCGCACCGCAGAAGTGTGAACCCGGGCTCAAGGGTAATGGTTAAAGCTGAACTCCGACCAGGGGCGGACTGACCATTTGGAAACTCGGGCACTGCCCGAGGGCCCAGGATCAGTAGAGGGCCCCATGAGATACCCCTGGTACCTTTTTTCATAGGCTTTTTTGAGTTTGGGCAAGGACACAGGGGCCCCATGATCCCCTATTGCCTGGGGGCCCCATGAGTTGTCAGTCCGCCCCTGACTCCGACACAAATGTGTCCGAAGCCGCATTTTGTTTTTTTTTTGCCTAATAGAAAAGTATGACAATTCTGTTCATGTAGTGCAACTTTGATGCTACTATAATGCTACTTGAGTGCTAAAGAATCTAAAGTTGCATTAAAAGTCGCACTGCATGAACAGAACTATCATACTTTCCCATTATCGCTCCTAGATTGTAAGCTCCCAGGATCAGGGCCCTCCTATCCTTCTTGTATTGAACTGTATTGTTGCTGTATTGTCTCCATTATATTGTAGTGCTGAGCAAACTATTGGCGCCATATAAATCCTGTATAACAATAATATAATAATTATCCAAAAAAAATGTCACTTTGGACACACAAACTTCCTGCACTACTTTGATGCAACTTTAAAGCTGCTTGAGTGCCAGAGAGTGTAAAGTCATATCAAAGTCTCATCAGAGTAGTGCACTAACATTTATGTGTCCAAAGTCGCATTATCTTTTTTTTGCCTCATAGGAAATTATGACAGTTCTGTTCATGTAGTGCGACTTTAATGCTACTTGAGTGCCAGAGAGTGTAGTCGCATCAAAGTCGCGCTGCATGAACAGAACCAGGCGCGGACTGACAACTCATGGGGCCCCCGGGCAATAGGGGATCATGGGGCTTCTGTATCCTCGCCCACACTTAAACCACACCCAAAAAAGCCTATGAAAGGTACCAGGGGCATCTCATGGGGCCCCCTACTGACCCCGGGCCCTCGGGCAGTGCCCGAGTTCCCAAATGGTCAGTCCGCCCCTGAACAGAACTATCATGCTTTCCTATTATCTCAAAAAAATGCGACTTTGGACACACAGAGGTTCCTGAACTACTTTGATGCTACTTTAATCCTACGTGAGTCGCATCAAAGTCTCATTAGAGTAGAGCAGGAACCTTGCCTTTGTGTCTCATTGAGGGGGTCATGGTGAAAGTTCCTAAGGTACATATTTTATTCTGACACACCTCTTCGTATCTTCCAGCATCTGTTTACTTTGCAGCTCTCAGTATTCTGCCAAATGACAACTCAGAGCCACAGAGAACGCTGGTGCTGGAAGACATTTATTTGCCAGACATGGAGATTGCAGGTCTCAACCAGGACCAGCCATATAATGCCCTGTGTGTGTCAGTTGATCAATGTCTGAATGGTTAAATATTCCACAAAGGGCATCTAACCCAATATGTAGGCAGATGCAGTCTGCTTTCTCCACTGTAGGTGGCGCTCGACCAACGTGGCACTACAGCCTGGAGAGGAAGTCCAGGGGAAATACGCTTTCTTTATGGTTTCCTGGGTCAATGGAGCAGCGTTCAAGTTGGTTACCCTTGGCAGCCATCTTGGGTCAGTAAGGTCTATATAAGTCCCTGCCACTAGGTTTTGGTGTGCATTTTGTGGGTGGATAGTGTAGAGAGAGAAACCCTGCTTGGTAGGTAAAGTAACTAGTGGTAGGGAAAGCTTCCTGGCAAGGAGGGACAGGCTAGGGACCAACCTGGAAAGAAGCCTCTTCTCTTGGGACCGGACCGGCCAGGCTGTACCTTACCCTCTGAAACAGATACTGTTGGCACCTCTCCTCAGCCACATCTTTGGCTGCTTTCAGTTATTTCCTAAAGTGGCCCTCTCTCGCTGTGGGGTTTGTAATGTTGGCAGCCATCTTGGGTCAGTAAGGTCTGTATAAGTCCCTGCCCTTGGGTTTTGGTGTGCATTTTGCGGGTGGATAGTGTATAGAGAGAAACCCTGCTTGGTAGGTAAAGTAACTAGCGGTAGGGAAAGCTTCCTGGCAAGGAGGGACAGGCTAGGGACCAACCTGGAAAGAAGCCTCCTCTCTTGGGACTGGACTAGCCAGGCTGTACCTTACCCTCCAAAACAGATACTGTTCGCACCTCTCCTCAGCCACATCTTTGGCTGCTTTGAGTTATTTCCCAAAGTGGGCCTCTCTCGCTGGGGTCTTTGTAATGTTGACATAATTCTCAATGAGGAAGCATTGTAGCTATGTGACCCTTGGAGGCCATCTTGGGTCAGTAAGGTCTATATAAGTTCCTGCCCCAGGTTTTAGCATGCATTTTGTGAGTGAATAGTGTAGAGATACCCTGCTTGGTAGGTAAAGTGACTAGCAGTAGGGAAAGGTTCCTGGTGAGGAAGGACAGGCTAGGGACCAATCTGGAAAGAAGCTTTCTCTCTTGAGACCAGACCGGCCAGGCTGTACCTCACCCTCTGAAACAGATGTTGTTGGCACCTCTCCTCAGCCACATCTTTGCCTGCTTTGAGTTATTTCCCAAAGTGGCCCTCTTTTGCCTTGGCTGTTTTGAGTTACTTCCCAAAGTGGCCCTTTCTCACTGGGGTGTTTGTAATGTTGACATAATGCTCAATGGGGAAGCACTGTGGCTATGTGACCCTTGGAGATCATCTTGGGTCAGTAAGGTCTATATAAGTCCCTGCCCCCGGGTTTTAGCATGCATTTTGTGGGTGGCTAGCGTAGAGATACCCGGTTTGGTAGGTAAAGTGACTAGCGGTAGGGAAAGGTTCCTGGTGAGGAGGGAGAGGCTAGGGACCAACCTGGAAAGAAGCCTTCTCTCTTGGGACCAGACTGGCCAGGCTGTACCTCACCCTCTGAAACAGATGTTGTTGGTGCCTCTTCTCAGGCACATCTTTGACTGCTTTGAGTTATTTCCCAAAGTGGCCGTCTTTTGCCTTGGCTGTTTTGAGTTACTTCCCAAAGTGGCCCTTTCTCACTGGGGTGTTTGTAATGTTGACATTCTGCTCAATGGGGCAGCATTATGGCTATATGACCCTTGGTGGCCACCTTGGGTCAGTAAGATCTATAGAAGTCTCTGCCCCCCAGCTTTTGGCATGCATTTTGCGAGTGACTAGTGCAGAGAGAGAAACCCTGCTTGGCAGGTAAAGTGACTAGCGGTAGGGAAAGGTTCCTGGCAAGGAGGGACAGGCTAGGGACCAACCTGGAAAAAAGCCTCCTCTCTTGGGACTGGACCGGCCAAGCTGTACCTCACCCTCCGAAACAGATACTGTTGGCACTTCTCCTCAGCCACATCTTTGGCTGCTTTGAGTTATTTTCCAAAGTGGCCCTCTCTCACCGGGGTGTTTGTAATGCTGACATTCTGCTCAACGGGCTAAAAAGTTAGCACTTCCACCTGGCAGCACTAAGGCCATTGGTTCGAATCTCAACCACGGCACCACTTTCCTAGCGTTTGCATGTTCTCCCTGTGCCTGCGTGGCTTTCCTCCGGGTATTCTGGTTTCCTCCCACACTCCAAAGACATGCTGGTAGGTGAATTGGCTCCTGTCTAAATTGGCCCTAGTATGTGTATGTATGGATGTGAGTTAGGGACCTTAGATTGTACGCCCCTTGAGGGTTAGGGACTGATGTGTACATTGATGGCGCTATAGAAGTACCTATAATAAATAAATACATGTTTCAAATTTTACTGCAACCAAACTCTGTGTGTGTTCACTGCCGCTGCACCTCCCCACAAACATAGTACTGGTTCTTAGGACAAATGCCCCCCCCCCAGCCCCATCCTCCCATGCCATGTATACATCTACACCGAGATGAAATGAAGAACTTACTTTTCTGCCAGAGGAGAAAGTATCGGGGTGGTGGGTAGACTGTTCCTGCCGTTGGGCGATTCCACCTAGACGGAACGGAGAATGGTAATTATATCAGAAAATGCATTCAAAAACAGATGGATTGTCAAGACTACTCAGGAGTCACAGATATCCAACACGGCCAACTGAATTCAGGCACCACTTACTAGAGAAGACAGTGCAGGGATAGGGGATGAGTTCGGGGACTGTCCAGGGATGTTCAGCAAATTAAATTTCGGAACTACGGCGACACTCACTCGTCTTCGCGGCATATTCTGGAGGCAAGAAGTACACAGCATTGTGAGTGAAGAATTGTGATACTTCATTTTGGACGGCTCTGTAATCATAGGACTCTTTTCATTGGGTGATAAATATGAAACGTTCTTTCCAGGGGCGGACTGACCATTTGGAAACTCGGGCACTGCCCGAGGGCCCGGGATCAGTAGGGGACCCCATGAGATGCCCCTGGTACCTTTTTCATAGGCTTTTTTGAGTTTGGGCAAGGACGCAGGGGCCCCATGATCCCCTATTGCCTGGGGGCCCCATGAGTTGTCAGTCCGCCCTTGGTTCTGTCTGCGTGACCAGGAAATCCTTCAATCATTGCTCCTGCATGCCAGTGTATACTTTAAATACAATATACTTCCTTTTCAATTATATGTTAGCTGTGTGCAGGGATTTTTTTTTCAGAGAATAGGTAAAAGAACTCCCCCTTTCCGAACCACCCTTTGTCTCCGCCCCCTACCCACCTCCGAGCACCATTCCTTGGTTCAACCCCCTACCCACCTCCCAGTAACACCCTTTTTAGAGATTACAGAATCAAGTCTCATTTTGTGGTGCTAAGTAATGTGTATTCAATTAGTTAATAACAAGAAAAGTGGTAAAATAGATCCCCTTCAGCCAGGAAAAAAAGACCCCACAGCAACAATAGATCCCCCGTGATAGACCACTCCAGCAACAATAGATCCCCTCTACAACAACAGACCCCCCAAGCAACAATGAACCCCCTCCCACAACAAGATACCACCCCAGAAACAACAGATCCACCCCAGCAGCAACAACATATCTCCCATCATCAATAGACCACTCCTTCAACAGTAGATCCCTTCCAGCAACATTTGAACCCCCAGCAACAACAGACTCCACTCAAAAATAGATCCCCTCCAGCGACAATAGATGCCCCAGCAACCAGCATCAGCAGACCCTCCAGCACACCCAGCACCACTTGCCATTACAAACATTCAGTGCTGGAGGTGCCAGAACTGCGTTCCCCCCGTGTTCCCGCTGAAAAAAAGCACCAGTTGTGTGTAAATGTAAAATATATTAGTTTATGTAAATGCACTCACTAGCTTCTTTATTAGGTCCACCTGTTCAATTGCTCGGTAACACAAATTGCTAATCAGCCAATCACATGGCAGCAGCTCAATGCATTTAGCCATCTAGATGTGGTGAAGACGACTTGCCGAAGATCAAATTGAGCATCAGAATGGGGAAGAAAGGGGATTTAAGTGACTTTGAACGTGGCATGGTTGTTGGTGGCAGACGGGCTGGTCTGAGTATTTCAAAAACTGCTGATCTACTGGGATTTTCAAGCACAACCATCTCTAGGGTTTACAGAGAATGGTCCAAAAAAGAGAAAATATCCAGTGAGCGTCAGTTGTGTGGAGGAAAATGCCTTGTTGTTGTCAGAGGTCAGAGGAGAATGGCCAGACTGGTTGGAGATGATAGAAAGGTAACAGTAGCTCAAATAACCACTCGTTACAACCAAGGTATGCAGAATACCATCTCTGAACGCACAACACGTCGAACCGAGAAGCAGATGGGCTACAGCAGCAGCAGAAGTCCACACCGGGTGCCACTCCTGTCAGCTAAGAACAGGAAACGGAGGCTACAATTCACACAGGATTACCAAGATTGGACAATAGAAGATTGGAAAAACATTCCCTGGTCTGATGAGTCTCAATTTCCCTAGAGATGGTTGTGCGTGAAAATCCCAGTAGATCAGCGGTGTTTGAAACACTCAGACCAGCCTGTCTGGAACCAACAACCATGCCACTTTCAAAGTCACTTAAATCCTCTTTCCTCAGGGGCGGACTGACAAGTCATGGGGCCCCCGGGCAATAGGGGATCATGGGGCCCGTGTCCTTGCCCAAACTCAAAAAAGCCTATGAAAAAGGTACAGGGGCATCTCATGGGGCCCCCTACTGACCCCGGGCCCTCGGGCAGTGCCCGAGTTTCCAAATGGTCAGTCAGCCCGTTTCCTCCCCATTCTGATGCTCGCTTTGAACTTCAGCAAGTCGTCTTCACCACGTATAGATGCCTAAATACATTGAGTTGCTGCCGTGTGATTGGCTGATTAGCAGTTTGTGTTACCACTCAGCAGGTGTACCTAATAAAGTGGCCAGTGAGTGTAAATGTCACAGGGACGATCTAGCAAAAAGTTATATTCTAGTTATCAGTAGGCTGTGTAAGTCCCTGGCTTCTACTAAGTCTTGGGAGCTCCAACAATGAGATTTCCTTGCCATATTTCCCACCTCTTATCCTGGCCACCTGAGAGTTTTGTTTGCTCCTGACCAGGGGCGGACTGACCATTTGTAAACTCGGGCACTGCCCGAGGGCCCAGGGTCAGTAGGGGGCCCCATGAGATGCCCCTGGTACCTTTTTTATAGGCTTTTTTGAGTTTGGGCAAGGACACAGGGGCCCCATGATCCCCTATTGCCCAGGGGCCCCATGAGTTGTCAGTCCACCCCTGCTCCTGACCACCTTTGTGTGTTCCAGCTCTTCCTGTTACCTAAATATAATATTACACAATATAAAATACATAACATTCCAGCAGGGATGGTGGCAGGCCCTCACTATGGGCATAGCATCTGTTCAAACCCAGGAATTCAGGGAGCTCACTAAGAAATCCCCAAGAAATAATGTTTTCTGTAGTGGCCACTCTGGGCCGGTAAAACTCTGAGCATGAAGCAGTGCATGGTCTCTTTCTCTAGCTGAACTCCACATACGGAGTACAGCTGGAGCAGGGGAAGGGAACGCTAGGGGGTACATTATTGTCATTTTCAACCCATCCTGCAAATAGCAGGATGGATGGAGATAAGGGGCCATTGGTTTTTGTGGAGAGGACCCCCAACAGGTACATCCGTAAGGGAAGGATTTGCTCCATGTACAACTTGGTGTAGTAGTACTACCCCCTTAGGAGTCGCTGAGTTCTGGGTCCCCCATGTGGATGAGGGACACATGGGATGCCCAAGGAACAACTTCCTGGAACTATGTACAAGTAGTCAGAAAGGTTGTCTATTCTTGGAGAGCTATCCAGCCTCTCCTTGTGTACCTCCTCAGACCTCAGATGAAATCTCCTCTTCACCCAGCTGCCTGAGGGAATCACTGGCCAAGAGGTCCCAGAAGCGGCCGCTTTAAATGAAAGCAGTTCCAGCTGGGGGCTAGTAAGTTTTTCCACCCGAATGCCCTTTCTCCTTATCTGGCCCAAGGGGTGTGGGGTTACTCACTCAGTCTCTCCTGCAAGCTTGTGGGTTGGTGGCTGTCTTCAGGCCTTACGCTAGGCTGGCTCCTTCCCTGCTTCCAAGGCTGTCCTCTCTCAGGGGACGAGGATGCTGAGAGACCCCCCTTCCAGCTCCTCTGCCTGCGAGTAGGCTCCTCTCCTGGACCCCCTTCCAGGCTCCACGCATCGTCCTGCTCACTCTATCTTCCACACAAACTCTCCTGTTGCTGGGCAGACTCGGTCACTCTTAAGGGTTGTCCTGACCCCATGCCAAGCCTCCTGCTTTGGGATTGGCCAGGATCTCTTGAAAGTGCAGACCAGCTCCTCCTCACTCACCCCGCTCAATAAATTCTAGAGACTTCTCCAAGTCTCTAGATCAGGGGGAAGTTCCAGAAAGCTGGTCTGCAGAGCCCCTCAGCCCTGACCAAAATTCGTTTTCCCTCTGACTATGCCACCAGGCTGCTATTCAGCCTCTAAAAAATTCCTTTTCCATATTAAGCAAATCAGATTCCCTGGACACCTTACTGACAGCACACACTTTCAACCACACCCCCACAATTACACCCATTTTTGAAGCCATTCCCACAAAATCGCACCCCCCATTTTTATGGTCTTCAAACGCCTCTAAAAAATTCCTTTTCCATATTAAGCAAATCAAAATCCAGAGACACCTTACTGACAGACAGCACACACTTTCAACCACACCCCCCCAAAATTACACCCATTTTTGAAGCCATGCCCACAAAATCACACCCCCCATTTGTACCATCCTCATACAATTGCCAGAGGCTTTTGGGACAAGAGGCAGACATTCAAAATGTAAAGACAAACAGATTTCAAAGAAGAGGCACCAAGATAGGCCTGCCTAGTTAGGAAAGGTTTCCAGACGAAATAGCTCAAACAGCTCCAGTGGCTTCACTTTGGTCTGGAACCGGTGTAGTGCTACTGGTGGATTGGCCCTGCACAGTACAATGTGTATACTACATAACTGGGTGGCCAGGGACACATTTTGAAGAGACAGACACCTTAAAACGGGGACTGTTCCAGGGAAACAGGGATGAATGGTATCCATATTCCATTTGTTCATTGCCCTTTTTTAAATTTGATAGTCTGTTATTTTATACCAGTTTTCTATCCTATTCTTATTGCAATCTGTTTCTTTCTAGTTTTATGAATACTTAAATCATTCACATAACTAAAGATTTTGGAATGAATGATATAATAACAAACCTATTAAAGTTTTTCTGATTATCAAGAAATGCCCGTAGCAAAAAATAAAGAAGAAATGGCGCAGGGCATACATGACTAGGCCCAGAGTGGGGAAGGAGGAACAGAAAGGGTTAAGGCAGATCCAAGGGGTTTGTTTTGATAGTGGGGGTATTTGGTTGGTGGAAGGTTGAGAGTAGGTGGGGTTTCCTGCACCTTAGGGTGGGGGGTTTCAGTGAGGGGGCGTCAGTTGGAGCTGGATGTCAGGAGTGAGAGCTTCCCTCCCGGCCTCCCTGTTTTTGGTGAGTATTGGGTCCCTCCAGGTAAAGGGGGGTTATGTTGGTTCCTGGGCGGTTGTTGGTCTTTGGAGGCGGTTCTTATCTTGGAAGGTAAAACAATGGTGTGGGACCCATCCGTGGTATGGGATGCCCGGGGAGACATTCCCAGTTAACCAAGGTTTAACTGGAAGGTGGTGGTGCTGCACTGCGGACGGTATGGTTGTCTCCGAGCTGGTTGGTTGCGGCTGGAGGCCTAGTGTATATGGTTGTCCGCAGGTGCATTTCGGATTGTTTGGGGGTGCCTTCGAAGACCAACAACAATTCTTTGGGTTTCTGTTATAAGGAATGGTTGGTGTATTTTAAATTTGTGTTGTTAATAAAAGGCCATGTTGGCCATTTACTCCAAAATTGGTGTCATGTGTTTTGTAAGTATAATTGGTTAAGGGGAAAGGGGGGTTTGTACGGAATGGTCATGGTGGTAATGGGGAGTGGACAAGCCTATCTCTGGTGCAATAGTCATGATTTATTGGGCACATTTTGTATTATACAGCATGGGTACAATTGATTTTATTGTGATTTAATTAACATAGAATTTTGTATTGTTACAAGTACAATTATATTTGTTGTGTAGCCCTGAAGAGGGGGAGGGGGTGGTCTCTGAACAACCGAAACGCATTGGCTTTTTTATGAATTAACATTAGCAATAAAGGTTTTTGGATTCTTAGATCCTTGGTCTGGTGTTCTTATTTGACTTTTTATACCTTGAGTATTCTTTGCTGGTTACCACATTTATTATCTTACCTTGCCAATGGTCAATGACATTGAACGAGAAGAGCGTGGAACACCATCATCTGCAAGTGAAAGGAAAAGAAATGGTCATCTTTTTTTTCATTGAAGGGTCTTCCCACCCAAAAGTGATATTTTATTTATAGGTAGAGCTTGTTGATTTGAGTCAGCCTTTGAGGTGTCTTTAATGACACATCAGCAGGATCTCCTGAGTCATAAATCCTTTGATCCACCTGGAAATTGTGGGTGCTCCCATCCACCTTTGTGTTCAAGCTCCTCCCATTACAATCTCCACAGCATAAAATACATTTAAAAATTCCAACAGGGATGTTGGGATTCCCCCATAATGGGTACAATGGGTGTGCAGAGCCAGGAACAAAGGTCAACAATAGAGTGCCCAAGGTACAGAAGAAATTGCCAGGGGTGTAACTCTATATAATCTACCAAACACTGAAATAGTATTTCTAGGTGGACTGATCCTTCAAGGTAATTACCATTAAGTTGCATTTACAGTAGATCTTTAAGATTCCTTGCATTGGCCAGGTAAAATATCCTGGGGCTTTGTACAGTATGTGGTCAAATGTTTTTGGACACCTAACCACAAACCTACTCAGGTGTTACCAGTGATGGGTACTATTAATACTACAGCATACAAAGGTGTAGACAATTTTGTGCTTCCAACCTTAAGGGAACAGTTTGGTGAAGACCCTTTTCTGTTCCAACCAGGGGCGGACTGACCATTCGAGCACTCGGGCACTGCCCGAGAGCCCGGGGTCAGTAGGGGGCCCCAAGAGATGCCCCTGGTACCTTTCATTGGCTTTTTCATAGGCTTTTTTGGGTATGGGCAAGGACACAGGGGCCCCATGATTTCCTATTACCAGGGGGCCCCATGAGTTGTCAGTCTGCCCCTGGTTCCAACATGCCTTGTGCCCCGGGTTCACAAAGCCAGAGTCAGAAAGACATGGTTTGACCAGTTTGACGTGGAGGAACTTGAGTGTCCTGTACAGAACGGCCTTGTAAGTTAGGTCTTCTCATCCAACATGAATGCCTGACTTTAGAAATGTTCTTTTTGCTGAATGGCCATACATTCCCACAGACATAGACAATCTTATTAGATACACCTGTTCAGATGCTTGGTAACACAAATTTCTAATCAACCAATCATGTAGCAGCAATTCAATGCATTCAAACCAAGCATCAGAATGGGGATTTAAGTGACTTTGGCATGGTTGTTTGTGCCAGATGGGCTGGTCTGAGTATTTCAAAAACTGCTGATCTACTGGGATTTTCACACACAACCATCTCTAGGGTTTACAGAGAATGGTCTGAAAAAGAGAAAATATCCAGTGAGTGGCAGTTGTGTGGAGGAAAATGCATTATTGATGTCAGAGGTCAGAGGAGAATGGGCAGACTGGTTGGAGATGATAGAAAGGGAACAGTAACTCAAATAACCACTCGTTACAACCAAGGTATGCACATCAGTGAACGTACAACAGGACGAACCTTGAAGCAGATGGGCTACAGCAGCAGAAGTCCACATCGGTTGCCACTCCTGTCAGCTAAGAACAGGAAACGGAGGCTACAATTCACACAGGCTCACCAAAATTGGACAATAGAAGATTGGAAAAACGTTCCCTGGTCTGATGAGTCTCGATTTCCCTAGAGATGGTTGTGCGTGAAAATCCCAGTAGATCAGCAGTGTTTGAAATACTCAGACCAGCCTGTCTGGCACCAACAACCAAGCCACGGTCAAAGTCACTTAAATCCCCATTCCTCCCCATTCTGATGCTCGCTTTGAACTTCAGCAAGTCATCTTCACCACGTATAGATGCCTAAATTCATTGAGTTGCTGCCATGTGATTGGCTGATTAGCAGTTTGTGTTACCACTCAGCAGGTGTACCTAATAAAGTGGCCAGTGAGTGTAAATGTCACAGGGACGATCTAGCAAAAAGTTATATTCTAGTTATCAGTAGGCTGTGTAAGTCCCTGGCTTCTTCTAAGTCTTGGGCGCTCCAACAATGAGATTTCCCCGCCATATTTCCCACCTCTTATCCTGGCCACCTGAGAGTTTTGTTTTCTCCTGACCAACTTTGTGTGTTCCAGCTCTTCCTGTTACCTAAATATAATAATACACAATATAAAATAAATACAATTCCAGCAGGGATGGTGGCAGGCCCTCATTATGGGCATAGCATCTGTGCCATTCAAATGGTAGGGTAAGAATTTGGAGCAAACAACCTGAAAGCATTGATCCATCCTGCTTTGCATCAACAGCTCAGGCTGGTGGTGGTGGTGTAATGGTGTGGTGGATCCATCCTGCCTTGTATCAATGGTTCAGGCTGGTGGTGGTGGTGGTGTAATGGTATGGGGGATATTTTCTTGGCACTACCAAGGTGTACCTAATAAAGTGGCCGGTGAGTAGGTAATGGTCAAGTGTTCACAATTGTTTTGGCAATATATTGTAGTTCCCTATTAGATAGAAAACCTAAATATACCAAACTCTCTCTAATGTAGAAAACTGTAGGGTCTGGGACCGGGGCGGACTGACAACTCATGGAGCCACACAGTCCCTCCTTCAGATCCAGCCGCCAGTCCCGGTCATCTTCCTCCTCTGGGGGTTCCCTGATCTCTGTTGGTGAGTAGCTTTTGCTTCCTTTCAAGTTTAAAGTGGTTTTCTAATCTTGGATGGTTTTTATTATCCTGAACAAACCCTTGAACAGTTTGTACTTTCCCTTTAAATTACTTTCTGGAATCAGATCTATCCAGGGGCGGACTGACAACCATGGGGCCCCCCGGGCAATAGGGGATCATGGGGCCCCTGTGTCCTTGCCCAAACTCAAAAAAGCCTATGAAAAAGGTACCAGGGGCATCTCATGGGGCCCCCTACTGACCCTGGGCCCTCGGGCAGTGCCCGAGTTTCCAAATGGTCAGTCCGCCCCTGGCTCGGACACTGGGGGTAAACACATAATCCTCCTTTATTAAAAGTCTGATACACAGAATATAACTGGATACTTCCGATTGCCTCTCGGGGGATCAGGAAGGAAATATTTTCCCAGCAGGAGCAAATTGGATCGTGCTTTGCTGAGTTTTTTTTTTTTTGCTTTCCTCTGGATCAACTGTGGGTATAGGATTATAACTTTTTATTTATTTATTTTTTTTTTTTAATGGTTGAACTGGATGGACTTTTGTCTTTTTTCAGCCAGACTAACTATGTAACTATATGTAACACAAAAAAAAATGTTGTCCAGCCAATAGAATTCTTCCTTTTATTTTCTAAGCTTTTCTAGAAGAAGGAAAAAAACATGTGTTGGTAGACTGCTGGACCAGAATGTAGAAATGATGGGGCTTGAAATCCAAATTTCATAGGCAGCTTTGACAACCATGGTATCCCTGGGAAGGCCCTTGGAGTAGTCTTAAGATTATAGAAGGAATGAGAGCTTGTAGGAGGGGAGTTTTGAGCTCTCAAACATGCACTGGCTGTCTTTTGTAACCTCTTATTATGTACAATGTAGAATTACTGGACTTGCATTTGATTTGTGGCATTCTCATCTCTTTTACATTTTTCTAGTAACAACAACTTACAAAGTCAACCACAACTCTGCCTCCAGCTACATCACCAACCTGGTCTCAAAATATCAACCAAACCGCTCTCTTCGATCCTCTCAAGACTTTCTGCTCTCTAGTTCCCGTGTCACCTCTTCCCATGCTCACCTCCAGGACTTCTCCCGAGCTTCTCCCATCCTATGGAACTCCCTACCCCCAATCTGTCCGGCTATCTCCTAATCTATCCACCTTTAGACAATCCCAGAAAACCTCTCTTTAAAGAAGTCTATCCTGCTTCTACCTAGTAAACTGCCATTTATTTCCTCCATCAGCTCATCCCCACCCCACAGCTATTACCTTTTGTATCACTCGACCCTTCCTCTTAGATTGTAAGCTCCCAGGATCAGGGCCCTCCGATTCCTCTTGTACCAAATTGTATTGTAACTGTAATGTCTACCTTCATTTTGTAACGCGCTGCGCAAAATGTTGGCGCTATATAAATCCTGTATAATAATAGTAGAAGGGAAGGAAGACTCTGCTTAGTTGACACGTAACAATACGCCATTTACCACTTCCGCTGTAATTCCGACTGGAATTCTGATTGGCCAGTTTTTTAAATTCCATTAACTCTGCATGGTCCTTCTCATAGGTCCTCTTCAAATTCTCTACATATTGCATCATCACCTCCGTGGCTTTTGACATACGCTTTTCCTGGACACAGGAAGAAGATATTAGAAGGCTGAGAGTGATAGAACCATCGGATGTTCAGCTTTTAGTACCTTTACCTGTCGCACAGCACCAACCATCTCGGCCCGGCTAGAGAGCCTAATGGTGAGGCGGTGAAGGACAGCGATGTCTTCTAGCAGCTTCTGAAAGGCTTCTCGGTGTTCACTGTTCTGCCATAGGGACACTGAAGACTAATGGGAACAGGCGTGTTATATGTTGATGACAAAACTAAAAGCTTTTTCGAATGATAGATATTTCAAATGTAATACAGTATATACAATCTAATCCATCTAGACATCCAATCTAGGACAATCTGAGCCAGGGGTGGACGGACAACTCATGGGGTCCCTGGGCAATAGGGGATCATGGGGCCCCTGTGTCCTCACCCACACCCAAAAAAGCCTATGAAAGGTACTATGGGCATCTCATGGGGCACCATACTGACCATGAGCCCTAGGGCAGTGCCCGAGTGCACGAATGGTCAGTCCATCCCTGATCTGAGCTAAGATTTCACCATCTAGTCCAGGGGTCTCCAAACGTTCTAGAAAAAGGGCCAGTTTACTGTTCTTCAAGCTTTAAGGGGGGGCAGACTGTGGCCAGTAGGAGAACACAATGCTAAACCTTGGTATTAGGGGGAAAAAATAGTTGGTGTCAGTGGGAGTAATAGTGCCTAATTTTTTGTTGTCAGTTGAAGGAATTATGCCCCATCGTTGGTGTCAGTGGAAGGAATAATACCCTATTGTTGGTGTCTTTGCAGGAATTATGCCCCACTGTTGATGTCAGTGGAAGGAATAGTACCCTATTGCTGGTGTCTTGGCAGGAATTATGCTTCACTGTTGATGTCAGTGGAAGGAATAGTATCCTATTGTTGGTGTCTTTGGCAGAAATTTTGGTGCCCCACTGTTGATGTCAGTGGAAGGAATTGTACCCTATTGTTGGTGTCTTGGCAGGAATCATCCTCCATCGTTGGGTGTCATTGGAAGGGATAGTACCCTATTGTTGGTGTCTTGGCAGGAATTATGCTCCATCGTTGGGTGTCATAGGAAGGGATAGTACCCTATTTTGGTGTCTTGGCAGGAATTATGTCCCACTGTTGATGTCAGTGGCAAGAACAATGCCTCAAGGGCCATACAAAGGCAAGCGAAGGGCCAAATTTGGTCCCACGGCCGCAGTTTGGAGTCCACTGGTCTAGTCCAATCTTTTGTTCTCAAGAAACATGAAGGGTTTTTTTCTGTAGAGGGAGCCTGCCACTACTACCATATCCCCCCTTCACCACTTGTATCCACCAAGAACAAATTTAAACCACACATTACAGGGATTTAATGGTAAATGGTGAATGAATGAAGAGGCTGAGCAGGGAAGATCCCCCACTCACTGTCACAAATGAGGATCGTAGCAGGGGGGTGGTGATACAGTAACATGTTCCTCCCTAAATATGGTGAAAGGTGAACTTATCCTTTCCTTTGACTAACAATTAAAAATCTAAAAACAATATGTAGGAGGGCATGTGGGCAGGGCACTGACACTGAAGATAACAATTTTCGGCATTTGTCAGTTAATAAAGCTTGAAACTAAAGTAGAGCAGATATGTGTCCATCAAGCAGTGCTTCCGGAAATGAGAATAAAGGTTCTAGGGAGGAAATCGAGAACATTTCAGATGCAACTTCACTATTTTGGCAACCACCATTGAAAGGCGTGGTTCAGGTGGTTTTGGTGGTTTTCAAGGGTGTAACCTTCTCTAAATGTTTTTGTGGGTGATTCCTTTAATATAATAATTTGTTTTATTTTGGCACCCTCGTTCATCTGCTTACCATGACGGCCGTCCTGAAGTTCTCAAGTTCCTTCTCGTTGTTTTCCTCGGTCAGGTTGCGTTCCCTTTCAGCTTGATTGAGCCGAGACTCCAGAGTGTAACTGTCATTCCGAAAGGCCAGGGAGAGCTGGACAAACACGTTCTGTGTAGACACACGGAATGGCAAAATATAATTTTTCGTGGGATTTCCGGTGCCTTTGGGACAGGTGAGGCACAAATATGGAAACATCCCTGGCATGGTCAAAGGGGAAGTGAATAAAATGATCACTCTTTTACCAGGTATTCTTCTTATATCTCTATCATTGTTTAGTTTAAGGCGGGATATCTAAAATATGATGGAGAATAGATGTTGTTTTAGGGCAAAGGGAAATCAATTTGGAGTACTTAAAGGGAGACCCCACATGGAAGAAAAATATATTTTAAATATATTTTAAAAAATATTCTTCTCAAATATATTGACATATATTTGAAATACTGCAATTTTGGGCATATTCAATATATTTCAAAAAATATATTTCAATACACACACACACACATATATATATATATACACACACACACACACACACGTGTGTGCATGTTGAAATGCGGTTTTTATATATCACAAAATATATGAAAATTATTTTTAAAAATATATATTTAATAAATCTATTCTTCAGATTTTTTTGAACATATAAAACAGTAATTTTAACATATATTTTTACATATATTTGTAAATGCATTCCAAAAATGAAGATTAAACGTATATTTGAAAATGTATTTTTAAAAATATTTTTCATATATTTTGTATTAAAAACGCATTTCAACATACAGTTTATGTATATATATATATTTTTTGTTTTTGTTTTTTTTTTTTTGTACATATATTTGTACATGTATTAAAAAAATTTAGATTAAATGTATTTTTAAAGACATGCAGTATATTTGAAAAATGTATTTTTCAAAATATTTTTCTTATATGTTGTATTAAAACACATTCCAATATACAGTATATATATTCATATATACAACATATATGAAAAATACATTTTCAGATATACTGTATGTCTAAAAATACATTTAATCTACATGTTTTTAATGCATTTACAAATATATGTTAAAATTACTTTTTTTTATATGTTCAAAAATTATATTTTTCATATATATTTTGTAATATATAAAAAAAGCATTTCGACATGCAGTGTGTGTATATATATATATATATATATATATATATATATATATATATATATATATAAAATATTTCGAAAAAAAAGTTTTCAAATATACTGCATGTCTTTAAAAATACATTTAATCTACATTTGTTGAAAATGCATGTACAAATATATGTAAAAAAAATAAAAAAAAATAAATAAATTATATATATATATATATATATATATATATATATATATATATATACACACAGTATATATATATACACACACACACACACACACACATATACTGTATGTTGAAATGCGTTTTTAATACAAAATATATGAAAAAAAATTTCAAAATACATGTTCAAATATACGTTTAATCTTAATTTTTGGAATTTTACAAATATATGTAAAAATATATTTTAAAATGACTTTTTTATATATTCAAAAAAAAATCTGAAGAATAGATTTATTAAATATATATTTTTAAAAATAATTGTCATATTTGTAATATATAAAAAAACGCATTTCAACATGCAATATATATATATATATATATATATATATATATATATATATATATATATATATATATATATATATATATATATGTATTGAAATATATTTTGAAATATATTGAATACGGTCAATGTAGTATTTCAAATATATGTCAATATATTTGGGAAGAATATTTTTAAATACATTTCAAATATATTTTTCTTCCAAGTGGGATGGTTCACACCCATTCCACACTTCATAGCCAGGAGAGTGTGCCACCATTCAAAAGCTGCAGCTCTTGACACGCCATCTGTTCATTGGTACATGAATAGGCAACAAACCCCTGAAGAGGTCCTCCCTAGGATCTCCTCCCTCTTTAGGCCCCAGGGCATGAAAGATGTCAGAGGATAACAGTGCTGAACCATTAAATAGAGTAACTACAGAACATAATCTACCGCCGTAAGCCTGATTTACATGGTGCGCTGACTGTGGGAAGTTTGTATGACAAATTTTATGTAAATGTACAGATGACACTAAAACATACATCCCGTGATTTCTGAGAGCATAGGTAGCCGGACTAAAGGGTGATTTCATAGCTGTGCATCAACTTCTATACATTGCAATAATGCACCATTGTAAATTTTTCAGCAAATCTTCAGCATGTGACTCACCTCAACTTCCTTCTCAGTCAGTGGCGGAGCACTGCAATGGAAACACATAATATTTGATATCAATTTAGCAGAATGTATGCAAATGTCAGGGAGATGGGGACATAGAGGAAAGTGAATGAGATAAGAGGAAGAGTGATATCAGATCATACTGGGGGAGGCTCTGCTCACTTTATTATCAGGTAGTTTTTATTGGAAAAAAAAGGAAATGTTCTTCAGTTTTTTCCAAAGTTTGTTTTACAAGAAAAAAAAAAAAACAGCAAGTACAGAACAAAACAATGTAGCTTACAGTACATGAACAATGTGGATTGCGTCGTTAAATGTCTTACCATAGACTAGTCAAGCTTGGACTTCCAACACAACCAGGGGCGGACTGACCATTCGAGCACTCGGGCACTCAGTAGGGGGCCCCATGAAATGCCCCTGGTAACTTTTTTATAGGCTTTTTTGAGTGTAGGCAAGGACACAGGGGCCCCATGATCCCCTATTGCCAGGGGGCCCCATGAGTTGTCAGTCTGCCCCTGAACACAACCATGAAGTTCAGGATAACAGAACACAGCTTGATAATGTAAATGATACGTTTAATAATACTCTTCAAATGTAAAACAAAAGCGGTTGATGTTTTTGGGCATTTGGTCTATCCAGGTCCATGTCAAGAGCTTAGTGGGATAACCAGTTTTGTTCTATAATTTTTCTGGCCTAGCATAGGATCCTAGTTCCTGTTAGTTCCAGATGAGGGTCTTCATGGAGAAGGTCCAAGAATCTTCTTACATTTTTGAATGCTCCTTCTACTAGTATGAGCTAAAGTTTCTATATGTAGAATACAATCCATCTGGT